ACGCATATGCGCTCACAACTGACCTATCTTTGGTAGAGACATCAGCGTTGATCACTTTCGGAAGGCACGGCACATTCGCAGCTTTGAGTTGTTCGATGAAATACGACTGCAATGAAGATACAATAACTAGTAATGAAGCATGTGTACTGAATGTTGATGATGCAAACATTTAATCTCTGAATTGTGTGGACAATTCATGAAACTTGGTAGGGCCTAGCCTCACGCCTGCCAGCCTTGCCAGATTTTCTTCTGCCTCTGTTTCGAAACTTCCGAGAAAATTCCTAACCCGAACACTACTTTACAAGCCAAAGAAGAAGTTGTATTGTGAGTAATTAAATTTAAAATAAGACTAGAGAAACAAGAGTGTGCTATTCACAAATACAAATCTAAATGCCTGTTGGGATTTAATGGCCAAAATTAGCTTTTCACGCATGAAATTGAGTTTAGTTATCGACAACGCTTACGAATGATGCGCAATTAATATCTTATTTTTATACAAATAGTAATAACGCCTGAATAGTTGTGCACTAAAGTTCAAGTACACCGCTCACCTCGTCATGCTGAGATGTATTCAATACAATAGTCAAAAGCTTTTGATCAGAATACATTATAAGATGATTAAGAAATAGTCGCTCCATTCCAAGACCTCTGAACAATACCTTTCATCTCAATAATCTCTCGACAAAAATTTAAAATCCACCTGGCATGAACGAAGATGACATCATCATCCATCGTATCGACCATAAGCCGCTGCTCATACTCCAAAATCTCAATGGTACCATGACAAGGGTCACCGTCGAGGTCCTCCTCGTCCGATAAAACTTCACGTTTGATGAAAAGAGCCATGACAAACAAATTTAGCGCATGTCTCACATTGTTGCTTCGCAGGAAAGCGCTAAAGCAATACGTCAAAACCCAACAAAAACCTATATCAAATTTGACAGTGCTATGCTCTAAGCTGTATTTGAGCTTACCAACCCCCAAACTTATTCCTACAAAAAAAGCTTCCAGATTTGCACAAAAGACTTAAGCACAGTTTGTCTTCAGCGAAGAATTTTGGCAAGCAAACCCACTCTACAGACCCTGATGTGCATAAGATAGTCAGATCATAACTGTACGTTGTTACAATAACACAACGAGTCAATGGCCTCTTTATTGGAACTCAAAGCCCAATAGCAATCTACATTACAGCAATTAAAGTAGATATTGACGAGATCACAGCTTGGGAAATACTAAAACAGCAGAGCAGATAAAAGCACGACAGACAAAGTTATATACAAAGGTAAAAATGAAACCATGGGATAATTACCAGTAGGCCTATGTGTACATTTAACGACTAGCCGAAAATAGTAAAACATGAGATGGTAAGACTTAGAAAAAGCTGAGAACTATATCTTGTAGGAAACAAGCGTGGAACAAGTAAGGAAGAAAGAACCATTACCTACACAAGCTCCTGGAGATATAGCAAGAAGTTTCTAAAATGGAAGAGTTGTTTGTCACTGCATAACATCACGATTTTGGAAGTAACGTCACGCCACAGTACGATCTTGCTTGGGGCATTTCAGTCTAAATAGACGCTAATGATGGTTA